ATTCAGATAAACTTCTAAAGAGGATAAATAAATTGCAGCAATAATGTTACACTGACTGTAAGAATTTATTTGGTCATTAATACAGTAATAAAATGATAGACACTTAAAACAACAACAACATCTACGAGAATATGCCAGGATTAGAATTTATGTATGCAGCAATATATTGTTGATTACAAAATTTAACAAAGAGAGCAAACGCCAGCTGTCACATATATTTAGGATCTGAGAGGCAAAACATGGAACTTTTATCGAAAGTTATATTAGATTTCAAAACTGATTTTTCTAGGTGTCATATGACACAAACCTGCATCAAACACAACAGGCAACCTACACTACTTAATAAAGACTATAATCTTAAGGACATCATCAGTCTACAACATAGCTGTCTCATCAAATGGTATTCATCTTTGACATAAAAGGCCATGAAAACATCAAAACGCTCTCAGAGATAGATAAATAGATAGATAGGTAGATAGATAGATAGGTAAAGGAAAAAAAAATGACTGGGAGGAGGGGTGTTTTAAAATTAAAACCAAACCATTCATTATAATTACAATCCAACACTGAACTATTGAACAGCATCATTCTGCAACTTCCTCAGGACCCGCCTAATCTCTAGAACTTTGGTTGTTTTTTTATCACTTCTTCTCAGCATTACTCATTCATTGATTAGACAATATCAATACCTACACACAGAGCTGATTTTGTGAGTAGAGAAAACTTGTCAGACAAACATTAAATTACAAGATGGTACACCTTACATGGATAATAAAAATAGAACTCACAGGCGACAGATTCGTTGTTTCACAGAGCAATGCATTAGTTCCATGTTCTTGCAGCTTTCTTAGAGAAAAATTGAAATTACTCTTTCCCAAGATATTGGCCTGATCTTATTATGAATTAATACAAGAGTGAGATCCTTTCCCTTCAACGACTTTAAAATCCAGTATGGTAAAGACACAGAAAACTTCCTCATGAAACAGCTGACGTATTTTCTTGATGAGCCTCACTTCAAATTAGACAGTAAAGTATGACTAACTTTTGTTGACTATACTTGCAAAATTCTGTTGAATAGTGCACCAATCATACTGAATATAAAATTAAATTACACTTCCATGCTTACAGTTGATTTTAATTTAAGGCACTGAGCAGTGGCTTTTAAGAATCAATATTCTATTTACAACACAGAAAAAATATAGCAAATTGATGTCTAAGATCAAGTAACCATTGTGTCTGTTGATCTTCAAATAGATAAACTTGGGTCAATATTTATTTATTTTCAAAGACGTCTGCTTCTTCATTAGAAGAATACAGTTATAAAACACATATTTTACATGAATCAATTCAAGTGACTTATCTAACGTCTATTGACATTAACCCAGTAATGATTCTGGTCTTTGCCATGTGGTAACAGAAATGCACTGCTTGAGATCACCATATCCTTGGTTAAAAATCATTGGGTAATATTATTCAATCAAAAGCAGCAACCAGGCAATGTAAGGTGACTAAGGTAACAGCAGCCACGTCACACAGGCGTCACTCAATCCCAGTTAGCACATCTTTCAACACACAAAAACCATTAATAATGACTTAAAAACCTCTGCACTCTGGTAAAAAAAAAAACAACAGGATTTTGGATCTAATAATAATGTACAATGTAGGTAGTAGCAGTAGTTACATTACACAGTCTGTTCCCTTTTCATCCTCCATACTCTACAACAAACAATTTTAACAAACTCATCTAACACAATAAAACACATTAAGTGCAAAGAGGTATGCAGTGCTCTTGAGTTCATACAATGACGATGAATATATGACTGGTTCATAAATGAAAAAGAAGCAGTACCATATGTACTTCACTGAGTGTCTTACAGAATTTGCTTATTTGCAACATCACAGAGGTTGGCATTTTGGCCACAATACGACAAGTACACAGTGGGTAAGTGCAAAATTTCAGTGACTGAGAGTACGGTATCACACAGAATTTAAAGGAAGTCAGAAATGAAAAAAGTTCTACATGAGAACGTTTTCTCACATACAGATAACTTTACGATTTCCTCTTGCCTTTAATATGAACAGAATACGCCTGCTCTTGCTAAAGGAAGCAACAATCAAAAGATCGCTTTTCAATGGTCTTGTCCACCCTAGCGATTTCCTTACCTTTCTAAAATTTTAGGGGGTGCAAAGAACCATATTGTGGAGGATCACCACAAAACTAGAATAAGATTTCAACCTTCAGTGTACTTTGTCGCTGTGGAAAAAGCGACAATAGGCCAGCCTCACAAAATAGGAGGGAGAAAAGTGCCAGAGTCGTTCAAGTTAGGGTCAACTGCTTGACTTGAACATTCACCACCCCCTCGTGTAGTGGTTGTTGAGCCTCTTGTTCTTGCAGTTCCAAGGAGACTACTTGAGACATCTCCTAACTCACCAGTCTGTGCATCCACCAATTTTGAAACACACTTTTTGCCTCGATATAGTCGATAAAGGGAATATGCCTGGCCACTACCAGTTCCACTGCCGCTTCCACTTCCAGTGACACTACCACTGCCACTGCTTCCACTTCCTGCACCACGGTGTGAGTGATGTGAATGATGGGGCACCAGACCTGCTTCCGATGGGGACCGTCTCAATTCTGTTTGGGTGTGAGATCCATTGGTAGGGGCGATTGAAGAGCTTGAAACTAGCCACTCATGACGAAGAGCTTCATCAGGTGTCATTCGTTTCTTCGAATCCCACCTGAAAATTTTTATTTTGAAGAGTAAGAAATAAAGAAACCTGCCCTTATTAAGATGGTTTAAATCATTACTTACTGTAAACATTGAGATACAAAGTCAACAAACATCTTGTCATTGCACCTCAAGGCCATTGCAAGGTCTTTAGATCCTGGTTTACGTTTACGTCCCTTACTGTTTGTGATACAACGAGGGTTGCCATAAGTATCTGAAAATGGAACAGGAAATCATTATTCACTGTACTGAAAAAAATTGTTGTTTTGGTTGTTGCAGTTGTTTATGTACATACCAAAAAAGAGTCTGCGCCTTGTTGCATTGCCTACTATGTGGTCAGGAGGAGTTCCTAGAACTTCCATAATGCATGCAAGCTGTTCAACTTCATTTTCACCAGGAAATAAGGGATAGCCTGTGTAAAGTTCCGCCAGAATGCAGCCTGAATAAATTAAGAGGGGGAAAAAACAGTACTTAGTTGACTGAGACCACCATAACAGAAGTATATGACAATTAGATCTTAGTTTAGCTTACCAAGACTCCACATGTCAATTGGAGCACCGTAGGGAAGACCAAGAATTACTTCAGGAGAGCGATAAAATCGTGACTGTATGTATGTATAGACACGCTGATGTGAATAGCATGAACTACCAAAATCAATAACTTTGATAGATGAACTACCCCTCTGCTTCAGAAGGACATTTTCCTGTTGGTAAGCAATGTAAGATAAGTACCAATCTGAACCTAAGTTTGTATGGACAGCTTAGTAAATAATAATGAATGAAACGGTAGAAAAAAAAATGGGTTCACTTACAGGTTTGAGATCACAATGAATTATGTTTTCTCTGTACAGCAGTCGCAGACATTGCACTAAAGAGTGTGCAAATCGTCGGATGAGGCTCAGACTGAATCCCTGGTAGTTGTTTTTCTTGATCAGTTCATAGAGGTTCAGACTAAACACAAAAAAAGAAAGTTAAGCACATTTTCTTGTCTGAATTTGCTTAAAAGTATTACGGGGTGGTCGCTGTGCCCCGTCTGAGCAACTGCATATACTAGCCGACATGCAGACGCGCGGACGGGTTGCCTATTCGCACGGAGCCGTAAGCACTGACAACAGGCAAACTCACTCGCACCTAAGCATGCGGACTGCATACGCGCTTTCTCCGTCGCGGCACGGCGACCACCCTGTATAGGTATATTTGCATTGCACTTACTTCATGAGCTCGAAACTGATGCACAGGTGGTTCCTGAAGTAAAAATGATCTAGCATATGGATGACATTGTGGGATGAGTCACGGTCTTTTTTCCTTAAGTGATCCAGGATTTTGACCTCGACGAGAGCTTGATGGTGGAATCGTTTCTTATTCCTAGGGAGAAATAAAGAAACCAGTAAGTAACGGAGACAGAGTAACGGGCCATTGCATTGCAGGAATAATACGGAGACCAAAGAAACCGAGGCTGCTGACGCTCAGCTGACGCTCAGCTGACGCACCTTATGATCTTGATCGCGATGTGTTTGCCTGTCTTGTGGTCCAGGGCGCGGATCACTTGGCCGAAGGAGCCCTTGCCAATGACCTCGAGGATCTCGTACCGGTACGAGATGTGGTCGTGCAGCACCTTGTTGTAGGAGCCATTGTCGTCGTCGAAACCACCGTTCTGCGCCGTGCCTTCCTCCCCATGGATCTTGGACGCCTCGTACCCGAGGTACCACACCTCTGGGTAGCTTTCGATCTCCTTGCGCTCGTACTCGGACAGGCGGGACCCGTAGTACTTAACGGCCTCTGCAAGATACAAGAAAATGTGAAATTGAGTATGTTCACACTCGGCAACGCGAGGAACCTTGTCGAGCTTCGAGACACTCACGGGCTGGAGTGAGCGGGAGTGAGCGTCCGAACGGGTCCTGTTTGGAGGTGGCGGGGCTGTCCGTCACGTTGTTGTTGTTATTGTGGTGGCTGTTATTGTTGTTGGGGGTGCGGCTACCGCTGTTGTTGTTGTTGTTGATGTTGAGGCCTGGCGAGGATGGCGAGCCTGTCGAGCTCACAGAGCCTGCGCTCTTCAGGGCGGGGAGCTTGTGGTTCTGCAAAACACAAAAGCATGATTGCACGATCGAATGTTTAGATCAAGCCTGATCAAGTTGGGGCACCCAGCACCTAGGGACGCATGTTCTTGATTTTTCAAGGTTCTTGATGAACTTGTTTGAAGAAAATTATACTTGTTTATTGTGCTTGTTTTGAGAAAATTGAGCTTGTAATAACAAGTGTAATTCTACACGTACAATGTTCTCAAGTTCGGCAAGAATCAAGAACGTAATTCCCGGGGTGTGCAAGCTGAAGTGTATCTAACAATTCGACAGTATAAACTGTCTTCATCTTTTTCTTCTCACAAGAGACTTGACCATTGACGTACCTCTGGAGCGTACAGCGACGAGTTCTTGTTCCTCTGCTGCTGCTGCTGGTACAGCAGGTGCTGCTGGTGCTGCTGCGCCGTCTTGCTGCTCCCGCTGCTGCTGCTGTACTTGGACGGCAGGGCGTCCTTGTTCAGGTGCAGCTGCCCGGGGCTCTGCGGGAGAGAGGAAATTGCGGTTAGAGTCACTCACTCGTCAGGGAATCAAACCCAGTGGCGCGTCGCGACGCCGCCGGGGCACGTCCTTGGGGCAGGGCGGGCGCGTGGCGCGGGGGCACGTGGCGGGGGCGTGGTGGGCCCCCGGACTTATTCCGGGCGCATTATTTGCTAAATCTATCATGATGAGCCGTCCCGGCACGCCAGGTGGAATATTTAGAGGTTGGATGAACCGGGGCGCGGGAGGGAAAGAGGGGTGGGGTGGGGCTGGGCGGAGGGGAGAAGCGCCCCCGAAGGGACAGCACGCCACCGGGGGGTCATAGCTGCCCGCCCGGCGGCACGGGGGGACGGTAGAAAAGTCCTACTGCTAGATTTTCAGAGGCATCGTAGTATACGTATCGTGCGAGGGAGCCACCACTGCCGTAATCCTATGTACAGGTGGAAGTGTAGTCCCTATGCAGTCAGTGTAATACTTAACCAAAGTTTGAAAAATCATCACTAAACTTCACCTAATTATAAATTGTGGTTTTAGCCCCAGAAATTCAACAAAATTCATGTGTAATCCCTCCAAATTGACACGTCATCACGTAATCTAATCCTGAGTACATACTAAATCGAAGTAGTGGCCCCCTCGATTTCGTGTCACGACGAAATCACAACATTCTCAATAGCACTGTGCGGCCACATTTTTGCACGTGCCATGCGGACTATGTCACTCCGGGCCTTTGATGCACCTGCTGGCAAGACTGATAAAACTCACTGAGTTCCACCGTTAGGATGCTTTCAGAGCTGGAAGCAGCCCCAACCCCCTTTCGCGTCCTGTCATACTGTCTTCCGAGGAGCGATGGCACCCTCTCTAAAATCTTAAAAGCGCACCATTTTTTTACCCCCTTCCCCAGAGCTCAGAGGGTGCCATTCGTCATCGCGCTCCAAACCATACACCCCCCCCCCCCCCCCTGTTCCCCCTCTCCACAAGGACAGCCTCTGCTCCGCTTCCTAGGCCTCGGGTCTTTATACCCTTTCCAACGACCCTTTCAGAGCGCTGACCCCCCCACCCTCCCTATCCAGCGGCCTTCAAACCCTGCCAACGTCCCGGCAAGGACGCACCAACCAGATCGGCCAAGGCGTCTGAGGCGCCGCCGTCGCCAACCGCCGC